CTCAAAAGTGAAGCCACGATTGATACGATAAGTTGTTTGGCTTCGAGTATTAATTCCGCGGCTGCCTTGCAGAGAATTCATTTTGTGAAGCTTTTAAAGAGTGCAAAAAAGCAAAGCTGAAGGTTTCCTGAACAGCCTCAAAATTGCCAGCAAACTAAGCCGATCATTCTCATGCTTGGGAGATTTAAGCCATCTTGTTCATTTCGGACGTTTTGCATGTGATCGAAGCAAATCAAAAGGAATGATCAGAAGCTGGATTTGTGAGCAGGTTTGTTCTCCATTCCTGTGCTGTACCATTGTGTTGGACCGGATTTGTCTTTCCACACCGCGACAGTCTTGATAGTTTTGTTTGAGCCTTGACCTTGATTCAACAACCACATTATTGCCGACCTGAGCTTGGGCAAGCTGGTTGTCAGAGCGCGACTTGAACCGGAAAACTGCTGATGCCTTAATGGTTCGTCCATGAATTTGCTTTTCATGGGGCTAACTTGTTCCCAACCCATTGCAGGGTTCAAGAAAACATAGAACTCCCTCTTGGCAACTTTGTAGAATTGCCCTCCTTTCATAGCAAGTGGCTTTCTGCTTGTGGCGCTCGCAGTCTGATGGTGCAAGCTATCCATAATCTACTAGCCAAATTGTTCATGTGTATTCAAGTTACTCTGCAAAAGAGGTGCCCTCAGGAATATGTCAAGCAGGATCGGCCAAGTTAAATCTTTGTGAACAGCCTCAACATTGCCAGCAAACTAGGCCGATCATTCTCATGCTTGGGAGATTTAAGCCATCTTGTTCATTTCGGACGTTTTGCATGTGATCGAAGCAAGTCAAAAGGAATTATCAGAAGCTGGATTTGTGAGCAGGTTTGTTCTCCCTTCCTGTGCTGTACCATTGTGTTGGACCGGATTTGTCTTTCCACACCGCGACAGTCTTGATAGTTTTGTTTGAGCCTTGACCTTGATTCAACCACATTATTGCCGACCTGAGCTTGGGCAAGCTGGTTGTCAGAGCGCGACTTGAACCGGAAAACTGCTGATGCCTTAATGGTTCGTCCATGAATTTGCTTTTCATGGAGTTAACTTGTTCCCAACCCATTGCAGGGTTCAAGAAAACATAGAACTCCCTCTTGGCAACTTTGTAGAATTGCCCTCCTTTCATAGCCAGTGGCTTTCTGCTTGTGGCGCTCGCAGTCTGATGGTGCAAGCTATCCATAATCTACTAGCCAAATTGTTCATGTGTATTCAAGTTACTCTGCAAAAGAGGTGCCCTCAGGAATATGTCAAGCAGGATCGGCCAAGTTAAATCTTTGTGACCCATTGCAGGGTTCAAGGAAACATAGTATTCCCGTCTGGCAGCT